TCCTTTGTGGACCAAGATTAGGCAAATTTTATTTGCCAATACTCGGACTTTGCTTGACGTGCTAGACCAATTGAATTGGAAAAACCCCTGTTACTTAGGCATGGAATAAAATCGAGCAGAGTTTTATGGGTTATCCCTTGATGAAGTCAGAGTTGCCCAGGTATGTGAGTTAAGGAGCCATATTGGGAAAGCTAGTCACCATTGAGGATAAAGCATGTACAAGTGCGAGACTTGGATTCTAGGTCTGTGGGTCATGGGAACTGCTAAGTCAGTTTGCGAACGCTAGTGTGGATTATAGTTCACAATAGAAGCAAGTGTGGAGTACTACGGCAATATTATAGTTCCTAAACCTCGACGAATTTGATTCCCATCAAAATTATTTGGTTTTAATTATTTTGATATTAAATGATTTCTAGATTGATTATATAAACTTTTATGAGCATCTAGATATTTTATTTTTACAAAACAAATTTATAAATTAGGTGATTCAATTTTCAGTATTTAAATATTCAAAGGAAAATAAAGTTTATTTCCTATTTTCTAAAAATCAATTTTATAATTTTAAAAATCATATTTAATTAGGGAGCCCACCATAATCTTTATGTGGATGTGCTGGGGGACCACCCATGGTCTACAAGGGTGGCAAGCCCCACTTAAAGTGCGTAGTCCTTTGTTTTGATATGCTTTGATGAGCAAGGAATCGAAACAATTAGCATAATATGTTTTATGAAATCTTATGGATATTGAACTTCTAAAAGGAACATGTATAAAAAAGAGATTTATACAAAGATAGAAATTATCGAATATTTTCAATTTTTATATTTGATAGGAAAAAGATTTAGAAAGCAGAAAGATAAAGTTATGCATTATCTTTTGAATCACGATGGCTAATCTAATGATTAAATTGCTCAGATCTCTCACCCCACAGGTCTCCTATGATCAATGGTATGGATCTAATTTCCATAAAGATGGCTAACTCTGAAGAAACCTTAACCCCTGGAAACTCTATAAATAGAGCCCTTTCTCCCATAAATCTCTATACCTCTCGTCTCTCTCTCTCTCTTTCTTCTCTCTATGATCTCTCTCTACCTTGGAATAATATTTGTTACAAATAGGGGCACACCGCATGCTAGGAGTAAAGAGGGGGCATGCCCCACACGTTCAAGGTATTGAGGCCTTGTGGTTGCTAAGAGTTAAGAGGGGCGCACCCCACACATACAAGGTATTGAGGCCTTGTGGTTTATATGATGTTCCATATTGTTCTCATATTGATTAAGAGTTATAGTCAAGACTCTCTCATATTTTGTAGATCTAAGATAAACCATTGATCACGTACGTCATTAGAAGAGGAGACCCGGTATAGGATATACTAAATCCAGTTGAGGAAATCTTTTGGCTTTTTGTTTTGTGGTTTGCAGTATTTTATTTCTTATGCCTTCTTATTATCATAAACATTGTGTTATTTTTATTCATTAAATAAAAGAAGTTGCAATTGGTTGCAGCAAGTGAGAACCACTTTTGGTTATCTATTTATTTATTTCAAGTGGGTTTTATTTGACTTGGACCTTTATAATTGTTCTAGTTAGTGAGAAAAAAAAATATGAAAAACTATATACACCGTGCTAGATCACCTTGTTCTAGCTGATGAGCTTGTAGCTTACATTCATTGATGGGCTTTTGCAAAGAAGGAGAAATTGGAGAAGCCCTACGCACTCACGTCTCCCCAACAAAAGCAGTCTTGTTAGATTGAATCAGCTGTGATTGTCACATTGAATGTGATGAGTTGAAATCATGTTACAGCCCTAACACTGCACAATAAAGCTTCTTTTCAACCAGTTACTAAAGCCAAATTCAACGATTAGAATTTTATTTTATTTTATACAAAAAAAAGCAGACTTTATTTCTTACCCTTTGCGGTGTCATCTCGCAGGTGATTTCTGAATAGCCCGCTTGATTGATTGCACTGATTAACATGTAATTTTAGTTTACAACATTCTCTGCTGGTCAAGGGTCATGGGCACCGAAAACCTGGGCAGCTCAGTTGAATCCAAATAAGGATTCTGACATTCCGCAGTTATGTCAATATCAGTTATATGCAATGATTTAAAAAGCGGATCGATGACTCGGATCGGGCACCTCAAAAACCGATTCGGATCGGCGAATCGACAATCCGGATCCGTTGAATCGGTCTGATTAAAGCATCAAAAAAATCCGAAAAAATTATTAAAATTCATTATAAATGTTGTTTTTTAGGAATTCAATTAGAAATGAGGGTACTACATTATTAACTTTTAGTTTTTTCATCAATTTGTGAATATTGATATGCTCTTTCCCTGTATAAACTTAAGTATTAAATTTGCATCACATAAAAAAAAATCATAGCATTAGCATGGATAAAATATATAATTATACATGAACTATGATAAAGAACAGACTAAATCAATGAAAGAATGGCCATTAAAATCTCGTTTTGGTGAAAAACCCTAACCC